GGGGGGGGGGGGAATTCTAACCTTTAACGCATTTACCGCCATGTGTGCCCGCCTAAATTTTATTATTATATACATGTTTTATAAATATTTTAATATAAAAACAATGTAGTTTTCATAAACTACTACGTTTCAAAAGGTGGCCATCCGGTTATAATAACTTACGATTACGGTAAAAATGCCTAAGGATAACTCTTCTGTGTTATTATCATTATTATTTAAAACAAAAACCCAAGTTATCCTAATCAGAAAAATGTAAAGTACTTCTACACCATAATAAATTGGTATACCTTTAAACAGCACGAAATTATTATACCTATTAACTTTACTAAGTAAATTGTAAGTTATCACAATTTAAAACTTTTTTAAAAATCAGGTACAAGTTGTTTGTTGTGACAATACCTAATGCATATATTTTTCTCATAAGTTAACCTTAATGCCCAACCATAATAAGTAATAAGTACTCACCACACGTGAAGAAACTCCCTTTTCTCTTGTTTGTTCGCACACAAATTGTCACATATTTCTTAAATTTGTCTATTCGCCAAATTAAAGGCCAAGTACACAACGCGACACTAAAACTTTAACTGAACAAACATAGAAGTAGGCAGTCACAGAATGTTTAACTATATATAGGCAATTGGCAACAATCAATGGATCAACCAATGAGAAAATTTTAATTCAAATTTACAGTTTTTTACACCAAAATAAAAAATATTGTTTCTTATAAGAAACTTTAATCAAAAGCATAATTAAAACATATTTAATACATTACTAACACATCATTTACTTTCTGAAAAATTATTAGCAGGTACTTCTGAAAAAGTAATTTAACTTAAATAATAGAAAACGTAACGGTTAAATTGTAGAACTGTCATATTATAATTTGTAACTTTAATATTAGAGATGTGTATTTTATTTACTTTTCATTTTCTGGATCGTTGATTAAGGAACAGTTTTCTTTAGTTTGTTCATTTATTGGTGTTTCAATATTAAAAGAATCTTCTAACTGACGATGTTTTCTTACCAAAGCAGCAAATTTCATCTGTTGTTGTGCAATTTCAAAGCTTAGTGTTAAGCTTTCTTTCTCTAAATTTCTTAACTCTTTAAAACAATTTTCTTTTTTCTTATGCATTTCTTCGTAAAATGTAGTGTCTGATGGTGGTTCCATTATTTTAGAATAACCTCTAGTTCCCGTTTACAAATGAATGAATATTATAATTAATTGTTAAGAATAATTGTTTAGTCAAAGGTAGGCAGATTTATTTAATTAATGACATGGCTGGTCAACAGTTTCTTTATAGGTACCTACTCATTGTTTAATAAAAATATATCGTTGTTATATAATGTACCATTACAAATGCAATATTAATTTTAAAGTGGGATTTATTCTTCGAAATAAACTTAATTGTTACAAAAGCAAGTAATTCAGTTATATTTAAATATAATATTCATTCCTGTATTGTAGAGAAAATGATTATCAAGCACAGAACTAAATCGGTTTAATATTTTTAGCCATTTACTATTTCTATGCGTTTTTTTGTTTTTTGATACATTTAATGTATTTGAGACTTTTTTAAATGCCATATTCAACAGATATAATGAGATTAAATACTATTTAAATTTCGCGCTTAACTTGCGCACTTGTAATTACGCCGCCTCGAACATCGGGCATTTCTGTAACCAACGGGGCATCCGGCACGTATCAGCTTTGTAGGCGTTGCGGTCACTGTGAAATCAAATCATTTTCGTTGTCTTGTCTTTTTTTTTTTTGGAAAGTCGTTTCTTTCGAAAATTAGGTCCGAATTTTCTTTTTCGCGATGGAGAACTCAAACTCGGAAGGTGTCGTCCTACCGGACATTTCCGAAGCCGAACATCTTGCGAGTGATCACGATGGCGGCGAGAATGGCGAAAATGTCGTTGAAACAAAAGTTGTTCCGCAGAGGATATCACTTCAACCCGTACGCCATGGTGCTGTCCCTGTCAGTTTACCAGTGGGTTCGCTTATTACAAGCACATTCAATGTTATCACTCAAGACCAGTTGCCACATTTCAAGCCAATGCTTTGCGTGGATAATAACGGATATTTAGCTACAGCTGATGGAAGTGGAGGTGAATTGAAAACAATAGTAATCCAGCAAGAGGATGGACCCACTGGAGGAACCGTAGCAACTCCTGTATCTGTTTCATCGGGTACCAGTGTAACTGCTGGTTCCTGGAGTGAGGCTGCTAGTATGCCAATACTTCCAGTTAGATGTAAAAACACTTCTGCAGAATTACACAAAGAAAGGTATGTACCTGTGTTTTCTTCTGGTTGTAGGTATCAGTATAAACTTCTTAATAAAAAAGTACCTCTTTCATATCTTTAAATTTAGTGATTGTTAATAAAAGTAACTGTGCCTTTGCGGTCTGTTCTACTGTTGAAGGTATATTTTAATTTCTTCGTAAACGCAAGTATTTTATGGTTTTAGTAATTTAGAGGTTAGAATTGATAAATTTCCTAGAAGAAAAGAGTGTGCTTTTGAAGGTATACCTTCTTAATGATAGTAAGTTAGTTATTTTATATTCGTATTGTTTTACAGATTTGGTTCTGGAGGCCGAGGGCGATGTATTAAACTGGGTAACCACTGGTATACCCCGAGTGAATTTGAAGCTCTATGTGGACGTGCTTCAAGCAAAGATTGGAAGAGAAGCATTCGTTTTGGGGGACGAAGTCTCCAGACATTGATTGATGAAGGGATCATTTTACCCCATGCAACTAGTTGTACTTGTGCTGCTTGTTGTGATGATGAGACCGCTACAGGACCAGTTAGATTATTCACACCTTATAAGAGAAAACGAAGGAAAGATGTAGATGTGTCTCACAAGAAGCGAGACACTAGTGAAGACAGTGATGGAAACAATGCCATACAGGTATATATACTATTTGTAGATGGTAATTGATTTAATTCCAACTTGTTTAAATAGCACACAATACTAATACAAAATCTTTATACATATGTAATTTAAACATTTATAAATACAGCACATCAACATTGTCAATGATATTAATTTACTTTAACTAATACTATGAATTTACCACATACTTGAGGTTCTTGTATGACTGGCATAGCATGTCATCTGTAGTGGTCTAGTTTGGCAATGTCAAACTCTGTTGCTTAAAGAGGAAAAATTGAATCAAGAAATTATCATAATGACATCAAATATATATTTTTACAGAATCGTGAAGAAGCATGGCAAAATCTTGCTGAGGGTCTAGATTCAAATGAGTACCAACTTATGGATACAGTAGTGTCTGGTTCAGATCCTTTGGCGGCCCTTAAGAAACTTGAAGAAATTGCTGCCAATGTGACTAAATTGACAAGTGAATTTAGAAGAGGCATTGAAGAGGTAAAGGTGATGATCGAAAGACAGGCCGAAAAATTCCAACGTGAAAAAGATGCGGCCGTTTTAGCAGCAAGGGTTGAAGCTCAAGTGGCTGCATTACAACCTGAGCCTGATTCCACATTACAGCCATCTTTGGATAATGAACATCAAAAGAAGGTAAAGGTAGTAGTTGATACCTCTTTTTACACTGCTAAAATGTCTTCTTTTATTTTTAATTGTTTTGTTTTGCAGTGCGCCAATTGTAATAGAGAAGCCTTAGCAGAATGTTCATTGTGTCGTCGAACTCCATATTGTTCTACTTTCTGTCAAAGAAAGGACTGGACATCACATCAGGTAGAATGTGTACGGGGTGTGACGTCGGAAAGTGGTCCGCAGCAGTCCATTATGCTTATTGTGGAGAGCAGTGACGGTCAATAGCAAGAGGAGGAGCTGGAGGCTGAGCCACAACAGTCGTTACAGCCACAGCACGCTACCCAGTCTTTCTCTACCGTCTAATATTTGTTTACCTTACCAAACATCTGATGTGGGATGTTTTTTCGTGTGCAGGTAGATTTTCCTTTTTTTTCTTAAATTCGAAAAATCCTCCAATTGAAAATTTTTATTTTGGTAAATGGCACCAAAGGTAAATAAAAATACTTTTCTGCTTGTAAATAGCAATAAAGAAATCCCTTATTTATTGACGTTTATAATCGTTGTTGATAACATCGTTATGAAAATTTTAAAATGCCAAAAGATAAGATACCAATTTATAACAGGTGAATGTTTTGTTTACTGGAATTGTATGTTTATCTTTTTTTTACTGTTGTAAATCTTTTTCTTGCAATGTCTTATCTATTGGCACTTTCTCATTGAGGGTAAATAAAATATATTTTTCTTAGGTTTTCTTATTATGCACTGTTTGANACGCAATCTCAAAAATATCTTTATAAATAAGATACAAATTTATATGTTTAATTTAATTAAAATTAATAGTTTTTGAGATCAAACCGTAACGAAAACAAATATTCGCATTGATATCGTAATTATTATTTAGCCTAGTCATGTCATTAATTGTTACTTTAATTAAGTTTAGAAGATAAATTTGGACCGTATTTTAATACACAATAAAAAGTTTCGATATTGTGTTACGATTTAGACTAATTATGTTCGAACATAACCGGAAAACTATATGTAATTGTATGTACTGTCGAATTGAGAATCTTTTAAGTAGATTAATGAAAAATTGACATCGTATATTACGATTATAAAAATTAAATCCAAAAAGAGGCACAAAGTACTTTGCTTATATTACCGCAACCATAATGACGTTACGCCGTTTAGTATAAATAGATAAATTGGATGTTTAATTAACTAATTTATATGTATAGGACTCAGGTACGTAGATATTTTTATAAATGTTTATAGTAATGAAAACAATAGTAATGGACACTTTTAAACATCGTGTCTATTCAACCGATTCCGTTGTTAAAATTACTCTTGCTAATGTATCTCTGGCAAAAAAAATTGAAATCGTTACATCAAAACATAAATATGTACCTATAACGATTCTTACTATCCTAATTATTATTATAAATGTTATCATGAAATTTTGTACACATTGTGAGGGGCACAGAAAAGGACCTAGGCTACCTTTTATCAAGAAAAAAATACTGTTCCCGAGGCATAGAAAAAAAAAACTTTTATATGATCGTCGATGATCTTTGACACTCAAGCGAAGCAGTAGATAAAACCTAGTAGTAGATAATATTGAGTCACTTCCTTCTTGAATTACAAAGCACTAATTTTATTTTTCGGTCAGCGATAATATTTTGGCATTCGAAGGTCCGCAAAAAAAAAGTTAAAAAGCAGTCGTTACATTACAGGTGCCACCTTTAAAAATTGTAATTCCTCAGAGTTCTGCAAACGAGCAAGAGACGGGCTCGAGCAGGAATGGGAAGAGCAATTCGCAACGATCGCACCAGGCATTGCCCTACGTTGTCGCTACCTCGAACAGTGGCGGCAGCAGTGAAGGCGCGGAAAAAGACGCGGTCGGTGGAGGATCAACCACCTCCACCGATTCCGCTGTAGTCAAAAACGAAGACAAGAAGGAATCCGTTAGCGGAAATGATGAACAGGTACCTTTGATGTTTTTATTTTATTTTTGTTGGTTTTGGGTAGATTGATGCATTTTTTATCATTTGCTTAACGTCTTCATTGAAAATTAGTGCCTTTGGAAAATACTTTCAACAGCAACGGATATGGCATTCAAAACGCAATTTTTCCTATGGGTACATGTAAAAAATGCTGCTATTCAAACATCGATTCTGAACGTTGACATGCTCTTTTAACGTATCACGCATTGAAAATTACATCGGTCATGTTGGAAAGGGCCTTTAAAAACCTTGAACAGCATGGCCTCATTTGCAAGAAAGTACATACATACTTAGTTTTAAAAACCTTTTGTGGAATTTTCATTCAGAGATCTCTTAATAAAAATACTTGTGTAGCATATTTGCTGCAGTACATGCGTCTTCGCGTTCTAGAGTTGCGTTTTAAATGACACGTCCTGTAGTAAGGGTTAACAATTACAACAGGGTAACATATTTTTTTCTTAGTTTAAAGAATAAAGAAATGGAGCACCCTAACTTACAATTTTCGTAATTATTTTCGACAGTATTTAACAACTACCTAACAAGTAATATTGTCCCAAAATTGGGTGATTGGTGTTGATGCTTAAAATCTCCTTTAAAATCTGTACATTTTAAAGAACTAATTTGTTGGCAGTAAATATAAAATATTAATAATTTCTTCTTGAAGTGATTGAATTTCTTTGGAAAATACCGTATAAGTTTTCTGGATAATTAGAAATGTATGTTAGTATAGGATTGTGAAAAAGTATTCGTTAGTGTTAATTGCAATATGGTTGTATCATTCGCATGGTAAAATGCTTTTGTTCATTTTAGTAGTAAATAGAACAATTACTAAGTATTTTAATAATAAAGTTAATTGAATATTTTTGAACGCATGTAATACATTGGCTTTGGTAGAAGTTATCACATAGAAATTTGCATTTTGTTTTTTTTAATATTTAGAAGAGTTCTTTTAAAAGCAAAAGCCTAATGTTTGAACAATCCATGTATTTGCACTTTCCTTCTGTCTTCTTCTTCTAGAGTATTTAGAGTTTTGTTATTTTCGTCATATACACTTTCAGCTTATCGTTTAAAAAAAGTGACAGATCAACTAAACTGTGCTAAAAGTTTTCATTTAAGTCGCCGTGTTCGTTTGCTTTTCCATTTCGGTTACAACATTATCACAGTCGTATTAAAACGACAATAATTATTGTGTCTTAATAGAGATCGTCTAGCTCCGGTCACCACCAAAGGGTGTTACGCAGTTCACACCGTTCAGGTCCAAGTCAGACGGGTGCCGATAGAGGTAGCAATAACTCCTCCCCTCAACTGCAACGGTCTCACTCCCCCTCCCCTTCCGCTTCACCCTCAGCACCCCCTAGTCAAACCGAAACTGCCGTCTCTAGTAACCATGGTAGCTCTTCTTCCGCATCCACAACTAAATCCTCTTCGGACGATAAGGTAAAGGGTTGTATATTTGACGTTTGGGTTCTTTTTAATTGATTAGACGATTGAATTAAAGAATGGATTAGTAGGTAGGGGGGTAGAATGTAACACGTAGTGGTGTTGGTAATATCTAAATGGTTAGATTGTAGTTCCTACTATTTGGTATTGTTTTTTGTTGGAATTGAAACTGACAATTCGTAGAATAATTAATAATTATAGTAATTGTTAAATTAAAAAAGCATAAGAATTTAAATATGTTTAATTTACTTCTCGTTGCTCTTTTTGTTTAATTTTATTTTGCATTATGAATTTAAATTTGAGTTAATATGACTAGTAATCCCATCTATTCAAGGAAAATAATTATTTATACTTATGTTTTGATGCCTGGGTTTAAACAACAATTAAGCTGACTAATAGCAAAATATTATTTAATCTTACCACACAATGGTTGCATACATTTGAAATTTTTGGAAAATGCCAGCATTTTCATTTTCAAAATGTTAAATCGACATCGTTTGGGCTATTTTGTTAATAAGCCGTACGTTTCACGAATTTTGACGCATTAATATCCCTCAGATTTCAGAAACCTATAGTCATATAATGCGAATAAGATTTTACTTCTCAAATAAACACTTGTTCCTGTTTATTTTGGAAATATTTTATCACAGGCTAACCCTACAAACGAAACTGATTCAACCGCCACAACATCCAATACAAATTTGTCTACACCATCGGCTCCTGTTGATCTACACCCTCGTAAAAGGAAGATGAAGCCTAATAAAGATGTACCAACAACGACGCCTGCAAATGATCCCGTGGAAACTCCTGCCGTCTCCGAAATTCATCCCCACGAACAGCCTATTACTAATTGCTACCAGTTGTTCCTCAATATACGTAAACAGGTATGAAAAGTGACAGACCCATGTAAAATAGTTACTAAAATGACGAAATACATCAATTTACAGATTGAAAAAAGAAGAAAAAGCCTATTTCCCGTCCAACCAAAACCTCCCCAAGGTTTCAAGGACTATCTAATGAATCGATGTACCTATGTGTTAGCTGGAACTACCCCTACAACCCCTAACATAAGCTATCCTTCGTCGCTTCCAAGTCAGATGAAAGACCTTTTTACAGAACAAGAGAAAGAGCGGTACAGATTGAGAATGCAGGTAATTTAGTAAACCACAAAAAATATGTATTAGCTTTATTTACATGTTATTCTTTTCATTACTTGTTATAGCATGTGATAGAAAAAGAAAAGCTGGTATTGTCAGTCGAACAGGAAATTTTAAGGGTGCATGGTAGAGCTGCAAGGGCTCTTGCAAACCAATCGTTACCCTTTTCGGTCTGTACCATACTTCGAGATGAGGAAATATATAACTTGATAACCCCTGAACAAGAGGAAAAGGACAGAAATGCCAGATCTCGATACAATGGTAAGTCAAGTTTAAATTAATTGTTTGTAGAATGTTCTTTCAGTTTTACAAAAGTACCGTTTTTTGTTTGAAGTAAAATCTGTTGACTGTTATATTTTTATTGAAGCCTACTATATTGATTTTTTATTATTAATATATTGTACAGTATATTGTAAATTCACATAACTTGGAGTTATGTATTTCTCGTTTAATGAAATAAAATAAAAAAATATTTTCTGACAGCTGCTACTACATATACGTCCTACACTTTTCATAATAGGTTAAAAGTAGATAATAATCTAGATGAGTTTATTTTTCTCCTTTGAAGATCCAGCTATAGCGAAACAAGTGTTCCGGGTTTTTACCTAAATTTTTCATATATGTTATTTAAATTATTTTTTTAGGCCGTCTCTTTTTGAGTTGGTTACAAGACGTAGATGATAAATGGGAGAAAATCAAAGAACACATGCTTTTAAGGCATCATAACGAAGCTGAATCGTTGCACGCTGTGCAAAAAATGGACTGGGAATGGAAAATGAAAGAACTTAGTCTCTGTGATGCAAAAAGCACTCCCACTATAGACGATCATCATGTGCCCATTGTGCATGTCAGTGATGATTTCGACCTTTTACCAGCTTAACGGATTGCTATTTCTATGAAATAAAGTTGCAAACGTTTTGTAAATTTTACTTTTTAATAAGTATGTTAAATGTTTTATAGTATCTCTAAATCTACAAATAATGTATGCAATTGGATAAGTAAATGTATATTTTTTGTATAACTGCTTCTTATTACAGTAGAAAGCCAAAATAGATAGGTGAAAAACTGAGATCAGTTTTAATCAATCGATTATTGAAAATTGCGCTAACAGTACACATACAAGGTAAATTACATGAAGTTGAATAAAATTGCAAGATTTAGTAATATAGTAACTTGATATTACAATCATATTTTTTGAATTCTGTTTTTTGAAAATGAGTAAAAAGGAAATTAAATTTAACTGTTTTATTGTTTCCTCTAAGAAACACTAGTATTTCCCTAATATTTGCAAAATAACAATAAAAACTGGAAAATTAGAAGTCAGTTCAAAAAAAAATTTCGTATTAAACAACATCTATCCAAGGTAGAATTTGTCAAGAGGAGTTAGGTTGAGAAAAAGCAGTATTTAATAAATACAACAGAAATATCCTCGCTTTTGGATATAACATAGACTAACCTTTCGACGAGAGTGTCATATCGTGAAATTAACCTAACCTCTTTAATCGTTTAATTACTGAAAAAATCAATAAATATACATGAAATGATCGAATTAGCAGCTACGTATTTTGCTTGTGCAAAGAAATGAATCTCTGTTTCAATTACCTAGCGATGACACGTCCTGTAGTAAGGGTTAACAATTACAACAGGGTAACATATTTTTTTCTTAGTTTAAAGAATAAAGAAATGGAGCACCCTAACTTACAATTTTCGTAATTATTTTCGACAGTATTTAACAACTACCTAACAAGTAATATTGTCCCAAAATTGGGTGATTGGTGTTGATGCTTAAAATCTCCTTTAAAATCTGTACATTTTAAAGAACTAATTTGTTGGCAGTAAATATAAAATATTAATAATTTCTTCTTGAAGTGATTGAATTTCTTTGGAAAATACCGTATAAGTTTTCTGGATAATTAGAAATGTATGTTAGTATAGGATTGTGAAAAAGTATTCGTTAGTGTTAATTGCAATATGGTTGTATCATTCGCATGGTAAAATGCTTTTGTTCATTTTAGTAGTAAATAGAACAATTACTAAGTATTTTAATAATAAAGTTAATTGAATATTTTTGAACGCATGTAATACATTGGCTTTGGTAGAAGTTATCACATAGAAATTTGCATTTTGTTTTTTTTAATATTTAGAAGAGTTCTTTTAAAAGCAAAAGCCTAATGTTTGAACAATCCATGTATTTGCACTTTCCTTCTGTCTTCTTCTTCTAGAGTATTTAGAGTTTTGTTATTTTCGTCATATACACTTTCAGCTTATCGTTTAAAAAAAGTGACAGATCAACTAAACTGTGCTAAAAGTTTTCATTTAAGTCGCCGTGTTCGTTTGCTTTTCCATTTCGGTTACAACATTATCACAGTCGTATTAAAACGACAATAATTATTGTGTCTTAATAGAGATCGTCTAGCTCCGGTCACCACCAAAGGGTGTTACGCAGTTCACACCGTTCAGGTCCAAGTCAGACGGGTGCCGATAGAGGTAGCAATAACTCCTCCCCTCAACTGCAACGGTCTCACTCCCCCTCCCCTTCCGCTTCACCCTCAGCACCCCCTAGTCAAACCGAAACTGCCGTCTCTAGTAACCATGGTAGCTCTTCTTCCGCATCCACAACTAAATCCTCTTCGGACGATAAGGTAAAGGGTTGTATATTTGACGTTTGGGTTCTTTTTAATTGATTAGACGATTGAATTAAAGAATGGATTAGTAGGTAGGGGGGTAGAATGTAACACGTAGTGGTGTTGGTAATATCTAAATGGTTAGATTGTAGTTCCTACTATTTGGTATTGTTTTTTGTTGGAATTGAAACTGACAATTCGTAGAATAATTAATAATTATAGTAATTGTTAAATTAAAAAA